ATATCTGGATTCACAAAGACAATATAACAATATAAACATCAGGATCATAGAGAGTGCTAAACCAGAATAGTGAGCTTTTTTCAGAATGGTGTGTGTGTGTTCTCTCCTAATGGAATCAGCCTTGGCCCCGGGGCCGCTCTCATTAGCATGTGTCTGATCACTGATGGCCCCTGACAGAAGGCGGCTGTCTGCTCCAGAGAACAAGAGCTGTCATTTATACTGTGGTATGTATACTAGTGGTTAGTATGATGCCAGAGGGAGACCAGAGAGAGACCAGAAAGTGACCAGAGAAAGACCAGAAAGAGACCAGAGAGAGACCAGAGAGAGACCAGAGAGAGACCAGAGAGAGACCAGAGAGAGACCAGAGAGAGACCAGAAAGTGACCAGAGAAAGACCAGAGAGAGACCAGAGCGAGACCAGAGAGAGACCAGAGAGAGACCAGAGAGGGACCAGAGAGAGACCAGAGAGAGACCAGAGAGAGACCAGAGAGAGACCAGAGAGAGACCAGAAAGTGACCAGAGAGAGACCAGAGAGAGACCAGAGAGAGACCAGAGAGAGACCAGAGAGAGACCAGAGAGGGACCAGAGAGAGACCAGAGAGAGACCAGAAAGTGACCAGAGAAAGACCAGAGAGAGACCAGAGAGAGACCAGAGAGAGACCAGAGAGAGACCAGAGAGAGACTAGAGAGAGACCAGAGAGAGAGACCAGAGAGAGACCAGAGAGAGACTAGAGAGAGACTAGAGAGAGACCAGAGAGAGACCAGAGAGAGACCAGAGAGGGACCAGAGAGAGACCAGAGAGAGACCAGAAAGTGACCAGAGAAAGACCAGAGAGAGACCAGAGAGAGACCAGAGAGAGACCAGAGAGAGACCAGAGAGAGACTAGAGAGAGACCAGAGAGAGAGACCAGAGAGAGACCAGAGAGAGAACAGAGACTAGAGAGAGACCAGAGAGAGACCAGAGAGAGACTAGAGAGAGACCAGAGAGAGACCAGAGAAAGACCAGAGAGAGACCAGAGAGAGACCAGAGACAGACCAGAGAGAGACCAGAGAGAGACCAGAGGGAGACCAGAAAGTGACCAGAGAAAGACCAGAGAGAGACCAGAGAGAGACCAGAGAGAGACCAGAGAGAGACTAGAGAGAGACCAGAGAGAGACCAGAGACCAGAAAGAGACCAGAGAGAGACCAGAGAGAGACCAGAGAGAGACCAGAGAGAGACTAGAGAGAGACTAGAGAGAGACCAGAGACCAGAAAGAGACCAGAGAGAGACCAGAAAGAGACCAGAGAGAGACCAGAGAAAGACCAGAGAGAGACCAGAGAGAGACCAGAGAAAGACCAGAGAGAGACCAGAGAGAGACCAGAAAGAGACCAGAGGGAGACCAGAAAGTGACCAGAGAAAGACCAGAGAGAGACCAGAGAGAGACCAGAGAGAGACCACAGAGAGACTAGAGAGAGACCAGAGAGAGACCAGAGACCAGAAAGAGACCAGAGAGAGACCAGAGAGAGACCAGAGAGAGACCAGAGAGAGACTAGAGAGAGACCAGAGAGAGACCAGAGACCAGAAAGAGACCAGAGAGAGACCAGAAAGAGACCAGAGAGAGACCAGATAAGTTGAGAGGGAAAATACTGAGAGACCAAAGAGAGACTAGAGAAAGACCAGACTGATGGCTTTTCATAACTCATTTAACTATTATGAAACTCATTCATGCTGTGATTAAAGACACAGTTCTTTTTGGAAACATTGTTTTTATTAAAGTGTATTCAGCACCAACAGCAGAACGTGCTGAGTGATAAATATCTATTTACAAGTGCAGGATGAACGCAACAGGCGCAATGACTCTGTACAAGTGCAGATTCAAACAAAGACAGGCGCAGGAACAGTGCAAAAGAAAGTGGACAGTATATAAATGTTTGATTTGCAACACATCTCTCGTCCATGGCCTCCGTGAAGATCAGGCTCTGAGCCATGAGCCCATAGGTTCTACTCCGAAGCACCTTGTCCATGTTCTCCACAGCCGCTCCACGCTTCCATCCAAAACGTAATCAGACACGGACCAAAGAGTGACCAGAGAGAGCGACCAGAAACAGAAGAGCACACAAGACCAGACTGAGACCAGACAGAGACCAGGGAGAGAGAGACTAGAGACTAGGGAGAGACCAGACCCGAGACCAGACCAAAGAGCAATCACTGAAAGACCAGAAAGCGAGACTAGCGATAGAGAACACAAGACAGAGACCAGACCAGAGAAGTCCAGAGAGAGAGCTCTGAGAGACCAGAGAGAGACCAGAGAGAGGCCAGAGAGAGACCAGAGAGAGACCAGAGAGAGACCAGAGAGAGAGACCAGAGAGAGAGACCAGAGAGAGGTCAGAGAGAGAGAGAGAGACCAGAGAGAGACCAGAGAGAGAGACCAGAGAGAGACCAGAGAGAGAGACCAGAGAGAGGTCAGAGAGAGAGAGAGAGAGAGAGACCAGAGAGAGACCAGAGAGAGAGACCAGAGAGAGGCCAGAGAGAGACCAGAGAGAGAGACCAGAGAGAGGCCAGAGAGAGACCAGAGAGAGACCAGAGAGAGACCAGAGAGAGGCCAGAGAGAGACCAGAGAGAGAGACCAGAGAGAGGTCAGAGAGAGAGAGAGAGACCAGAGAGAGACCAGAGAGAGACCAGAGAGAGACCAGAGAGAGAGACCAGAGAGAAACCAGAGAGAGAGACCAGAGAGAGGCCAGAGAGAGACCAGAGAGAGGCCAGAGAGAGACCAGAGAGAGAGACCAGAGAGAGACCAGAGAGAGAGACCAGAGAGAGGCCAGAGAGAGACCAGAGAGAGACCAGAGAGAGACCAGAGAGAGGCCAGAGAGAGACCAGAGAGAGAGACCAGAGAGAGGTCAGAGAGAGAGAGAGAGACCAGAGAGAGACCAGAGAGAGAGACCAGAGAGAGACCAGAGAGAGGCCAGAGAGAGACCAGAGAGAGAGACCAGAGAGAGGCCAGAGAGAGACCAGAGAGAGGCCAGAGAGAGGCCAGAGAGAGGCCAGAGAGAGACCAGAGAGAGAGAGACTAGAGACCAGTTAGAGACCAGACCAGAGACCAATCACTGAAAGACCAGAAAGCGAGACTAGCGACAGAGCACACAAGACAGAGACTAGACCAGAGAAGTCCAGAGAGAGACTACTGAGAGACCAGAGAGAGACCAGAGAGAGACCAGAGAAGTCCAGAGAGAGACTACTGAGAGACCAGAGAGAGACCAAAGAGACCAGGAGAGAGACTAGAGAGAGAATAGAGACAGATACCAGAGAGAGACTAGAGACAGGGACCAAAGAGAGACCAAAGAGAGACCAGAAAGAGCGACCAGACACAGAGATGCACACAAGTTTTCTTCGAACTTTAAATAAAGGTAACTCTCATGTTATACTAGACCAGGGGTGCTCAATACGTCGATCGCAATCTACCAGTCGATCGCAAAGGTAGTATTGGTAGATCGCATTAAATAAATAAAAAATTACACATTCTAAACTAATATATACAAAAAACTCCGGGCAAAGTGGAGATTTTTGAAAACTCCGTTAATGCATTTGTGTGTAGACAGAGATAACCGGAGTTTTGCGTTCTCGCACGCCACAGTACCCCCCTAAATTCCTCTGATCACTGAAGCATGGATCATACTACCTTAAAAACTGTTCGCTGTGAGATGCTCGCAGCAGCGAACATCCTCCACATCAGAGAGCAGCAAAGTGATCGCAGGGACTCACGCTCGAAAACAACCAAACCAGGACTAAACCAGGACTAAACCAGGACTAAACCAGGGCTGAGGACGGGGTCAGTGCTTGTAAACATACGTCTTTACTCTGAGTGTCTTCTATGACTGTAAAAGTGCCGTTACCGGCGTCTGCATCAAAGCTCCGCCCACTTCCGTGTTTTTCCCCAACGCAGGACAGGACGTAAGAGACGCACATGTTTGGAATGTTACGAATGTGATTGATAACGCAGATGTGTGGATGCAAATTATTTTATAAACTGAGGAGGGGAAATATTTGGATTTTAAAAAAAACAGGCATGGCACATGGACATGGCACCACAGTCAAATGACATCTGTGTTTTACTCAGTAATGTTTTACTGACACTTAGGTGACTGCACATGCGCAAACAACCGCGCTCAGTGCAGGAAAGCTAAACCACGACAAACTTGCCAGCGAGTTACCACCAATTTTCCGGACTATGCATCCCTGGCCGATTCAATTCAGTGCAAGTCATCAGAGTAAACTCGGGTAATGACAAAAAATGTACATAGTTAATTGTGTTATATTGTGCTATATTGGCTCATGCGGTTTTGCATGTACATAAACATACATCGTAGATATAAAGAATATTTTTTGAAATAAATATATGATTTTCATTTTTGTAGTAGGTAGATCATTTTGACTTGATCCTTTTATAAGTAGCTCGCATGCTGAAAAAGTGTGAGCACCCCTGTACTAGAGGTTATTCGATGTTGTTTATAATGTTGTTGGAGTAAAGACGGGGTGCATGAGAAGCACACTGTAAAAAAGCACAAACATCCGCGGTACAGCGAGGGAGCAGTGTACTGACTCTGGTTTAGACTGAATACTTTGAATCTCTGAAAAGGTTTTGTTTGTTCTTTATGCGAATGTCGTATTTCAACATTATGCCATCTTGGTTTCATTTCTAGAGCATAGAAATGTTAACTGTTCTTTGTTCAACAACCACACATATTCATTAAACCTGGAAAACCTGACTTTGAAACCACAGAAATTGTTGTAATGCAAACGCTGTCAAAACAGAGAATTCTAGTTGAAACAGTGCATTTCTGGATGGGGTTTGCATGTTCTCCCCGCGTCTGCGTAACTTTCCTTGCACTAAAAACATGTACAATAGTTCCCTTAGAAGAAGTCTTATTGGTATTTTAATTGTTTTTAATCTATACACGTTAAGATTTCACTCTTCTTCTATGCGTTCTTATAAACAAAAAGCCGGCAGACTTGTGTAACATGTGAGATGGTGGATCCGTGTGTGACTGGTGCTGTCTCCGCAGGGGGGACGTCCACCCTGCGCCTCTCCTCGGTGCGGGAGGTCCCGGCTTATCTGCAGGAGCTGTACCTGCAGGGCTTCGTGCTGGCCGCTCTGCACCCCTTCATCCAGCCCTGTGTCCCGGGACCAGAGAGCCCTGAGCACCAGCTGTACCGCGCCATCCTGGTGCGACACGAGGGGTCAGTGTGTGTGTGTGTGTGCGTATTGTATTGTGTGTCTTGCGTGTGTGTTCAAAGTGTTCGGGTGAAACATGCTGTACGGGATTGTTCTTCCTTTCATATTGTGTTGCGTGTGTTTGTATGTTTGTATGTATGTACGCGTGTGTATATAGGTGTGTGTGTGTGCGTATGTGTGTGAGAGAGGATTGGAATAATATAGTTTAGTCCAACTCATTTTTGCTGCATATATATATATATATATATATATATATATATATATATATATATATATATATTTTTGTTTTGTTCTATGAGTAATTGTGTCAGGTTCAGAATGAACTCAAATCACTCCAAACCTAAGATTGTCTCCATCAGCAGCGGGGAGTGCCTCCTCTGAGCGCACACTCTGAATATTCTCAGCCGAACATAAAGATGTCAGCGCTGACGTGTGGTGCCGTGTGCGTTGTCATGGCAGCAAAGAACGGTAAACAAGTTATTAATGCTGAGATTGTCTGGAACACATGATAATTGTGATGGATGCTGTGCGTCCATTAGCAACAACTGAGGCGCAAAAAACACATTTCAAATGTAGCTGAATATGAAAATAGAGCCCTGTTTCCACCAGCTCTACTCTGCTCTACTAAACTCTACTCTACTCTACTCTACTCTACTCTACTCTACTCTACTCTACTCTATTCTACGTTTTACTTGTCTGCCTGGTTAGGATCTGGTACCGTATCCTATAAACCTACCCACAACAAACCTGCATCCAGGGACATTCCATGGTAACCATGGCTTCCAGCAGCACTGGCCAATAGAGCACTTTAGTACCAGCTCGGCCTGGATAGAACCAGGACCAGGACCAGGACCAGGAGGGACCAAAGAAGAAACTGGTACTGGTTAAAAAGGGACAGTGGATTCACTCCTGGGAGGAGTAGAGTAGAGCAGAGTCAAGTAGGACTGGTGGAAACAAGGTTTATGTGTGAGTCTGGTACTGGTTCCCATAGACTGTGTGTCAGGAGTGGACTGTGTGACATCACTATAGTGTTAGCCTTGATGCGCAAGAAGCCAATTTGAAGATAAGCTAACTGAAGCCAATTTGGCGGCATGGTGGCTGGATAGCACTCTCACCTCTCAGCAAGAAGGTCCTGGGTTCAAATCCTCGGTGTTGTTCTCCCAATGCTTGCGTAGCTTTCCTCCGGGTACTCTGTTTCCCCTACCACTAAAAACATGCTCACTAGGTTAAATCCTCCAGCTCTGGTCCTGACCAAGCCGAGCATCAACATCTGGAGTCCTGCCACAGCAAAGGCCTCCTCTGGTCTTTAGTCTAGACCTGGGACAGTGCAAAGGAAGCTGGTCAGAGGACCTCAGTTCTCTGCCCGGACAGAGGATTTTCTTTATCCAGGTGGATCATCAAGACTATTGGTGGAAAGGAGGAGGACTCACAACACAGGAATTCAAGACAAATAATGATTTAATGATAATTATGAAATAAAAGTTCAAGGTGAAAACAAACTCAAAATCCAAACAAAACACGGGAACCAGGAAAACCGATCAACAGAGTCAGCCACAAGGGGAGAGGAGCACAGAGACACAGTTGAAACACATCAGGGCGGGGGAACAGGCAAAACTATAACCAAACCCACTGAGAACTGCTGTCAAAATATAATCAAAGTACAAAACAACACAAAATCCACACCATGACACTAATTGTCAATCATTCTGGTGATATGGTTAGGCCGTTGAATGTGCTCGTCAAACAAACTGCGTGCGCTGAAAACACAGCTTGGGCTTCAGTGTACATGTACATTTTTCTAAATTGGGAAAATCCTCCTATATACCTTTAGAGATCCGTCATTTACCCCACAGTGGGGAAATTTCAGTGTTGCATCATCAGTTACAGAACAGAAGGATTAAGGAGCACACAACACAAGATAAATATACAATAACTTAAAAAAAATACTCAGCGTATACACATCAAGGCCAGCAGCGAACATCACTTGCTCCTCATAGGCAAAGTGGGTTAAGTGTCTTGCCCAAGGACACAACAACAGCAGACATCAGTAGAGTCGGTGGAGAAGGTCTCGTGACCTTCGGGCTCAAAGGCCAATGCTCTACCAACTGAGCCACTGTCGCCCCTTTAGCATAAATCTTTAAGTTTAGCATAAAGAATAACATATATGCACTGTAAAAAAGAAAAAGTTTGTTTAAGTTAGTTTTGAGTTGAAGGCATTAACTTAATTCTTCACGTTTGGAAGAACAACACCTATTAAGTTGTGTCAGCTAAGTTTTCCAAGTATTGCCAACTAAGTTTTTAAATTCAAGTTACTGGAAATTTCAAGTCTGTAAAAACATTCTTTAAATTCAGATTACTGTCCCCTACAATAACTTACTATTTTGAGTTTAAATTAGCCACACATTAAACTATCATGATGGTTATTTATATAGCGCATTTTACAGACCAAGGTCACTTGGGCAGGGGAAACCGGAGCACCCGGAGGAAACCTATGCAGACACAGAGAACATGCTAATTCCACTCAGAAATGCCCTGTTCCGACCGGGATTCGAACTCAGGACCTTCGTGTCAAGAAGCGAGAGTGCTATCCACTCAGCCACCGTGCCACACACGGTATAATATGTAGGATAGGAAAAATGAATGTGGAGCGGCTAGTCTCCAGGTCGGAGTCTCGAAAACATCTACAACAGATCCAGTACTAATCTGCCTCGATCAGTCTCACAATCTGATAGATCTCGAGTTCGAAATCAGCCAGGGATATCAAAAGATTTATAAAAAGGACACTTGACGATGACTACGTTTATCGTGGGTTTATTGACTACATACGAAATAGGAAAATCAACGAGGAGGGGTTTGGTCACATTAAACAGAGATGTTAAACATATCACGTGAATCACACATTAATGTGGCAATTGGAACAGTCTTACTTTGACGTAGTCCGTATTGAAGAATTGAAGAATAGGAAAAAGGGGGGGAATCCACGTGTTCCTTTGTTCGAGCAGGAGAGACAAAGACCACAGGTCGCAGCAAAACTTGAAATCCACACACACACACGCCGCCTAGAATAGCACCCGTATGTGCAGACGTCCAGTCCAGAAGCCGGAAAGTGGCTGGTTGATGAGAGTTCGTCGTCTCCGACAGCGGTGTTGGCAGCTGTCCTTGTGGAGGTAGAGGCCCAAAGTTGATACAGGCCCAGAGGTCGCGTTGGAGACGCGTACCCGTAGTCAGGGCTGGACTGGCCATCGGGCGTACCGGGCAATGCCCGAAGGGCCGATGCCCCTATTTGGGTCGGTCTGTTTGCCTCATACAAAAAAGATGTTTGTGAAAAGTGTAAATCCATTGAGAAATGTTTGAGGGGAGCGCGCGTGTCCGCGGAGCACCTGCTGTATGTACTCGAACGGGATTCCACCACCTCAGCGGCCGCAGTGTTCCCGCATCCAGCGGCTCTGAGCTGGACGCAGGAACCGCTCACAACACAACACGGTGAGTGCGTAGCCGCAACGTGACCATGTACCCAAGACCATAAACGCGCACAGGACCATGCATGTCTTTGCGTAATTTGTGCACCCAATAAATGCACCGCTGCAGAAAACAGTCCGCGTCTCCCCTCTCCTCTAAATTAAAGCTCGGGTACCTAAATTTTCTATTGCATTAAAAGTTCATGTTTGAGCCCAAAAGTAAAATGTTGTGAACAGATTAAACAGATTTAGAGCCAGCAAATGGCTGACATTATGCATTTCAGAAATGTTTACCAATTCTCATCCCTGTAACAAACAATAGTGTTGTCTGTGTCACCTCCCTCACTCTGAGGCATGTTTATTACTCTGTTTAATGTAGACTATTGTACTGTATTTTATTGTTGAAACTGTAGACATCCTGATCCTCTACAGTATTTGCTTCCACATACTGTATAAACCAGGGGTCGGCAACCTTTATTTATTTATTTATTTATTTATTTATTTATTTATTTAGAGGATAAGCCCCTTGAGATGAATCATCTCGTTTTCGAGGGGGTCCTCAAGATTTCACAAGGACAGATACAGCAAAACAGATGAAAATAAGACAAAAGAAAATCATTAAAAAAAAAAAAAAACACAAAACAAATAGTAATAATAAAAAAATAAAAAAAATAAAAGCAACCATAACAAATACACACACAATCACTCACACACACACACACACATCGTGACTGTACTGATGTTACACAAAATATGGATAATACTATTAATATTGATGGTAATAACAATAATCAGGAGACAAGACAAGTTTAGGTCTCATAAACTAAGATCAAAACATTGACATGAATACCGGAGATATTGTATCAAAGCAGATTTTAACAGAGGCAGAGAAGTTAGAGAGCGAATAGACAACGGCAAACTGTTCCAGTCAGACGGAGCTTTAAATTTAAATGCATGTTTTCCAGCTTCTTTATTCACTCTTGGAACTACAAAAAAAGACTGATTTGCATGACGCAAACTGTGCGAGGATTGGAAAGGAATCAGATATTGTTTTAAATATTCTGGAAAACTGAGATTAATGCATTTGAAAATAAACAATAGCCAATGTAGCTGACGTCTGGAGGACAGAGAGAGCCATGACAGCTGCTCATACATCAGGCAGTGATGGGTTCTGAACGGACAGCGAAGGATGAACCTGCATAGGCTGTTGTAGGAGACAGTCAGAGGCTGAAGAACAGAGGCAGAGGTGTTTTGATAAATTATATCGCAATAATCAAGCCCTAAAGTGGCTCCTGGAGCCTTTTAAAAAATGTCTGAAAATGGAGTGTGAGGGCTATATTTTATTTCTAGTTTCAATGTGGTTTCTGTAGGAGGAACAACATTAACGCTTTTCAATGCTGCAAAAACTTGTATAAGTAATAAGACGGTGAAAGAAAAGGCCATTAAGGACATTCAGCTCCAGCAAACTTCAGCCTGTGATGGATATGAACAGACAGTGATGCAGGTGAACTCGGAGCCAAAAAGCAGATTTATTTACTGTATTTGTA